CCAGTCCATTTCAGTTCGCTGACCCCCAGAATGTCTATCTTTAGTCTTGACATCTCACCAATAACGACATCCAGTTTGCCATGGCTCATAGATCTTACATTTCAGATTCCTATGGTGTATTGGTCTTTAGAGCATCGGATTCGTTGTTCACTTCCAGCACCGTCGGCCGCTAGCCTTCCTTTCGGCTTTGAGCTAGCTGCGTCATCACATCTGGGGCTAGTTGAACTTATCCTCTGCTCCTCCCCAGTAGCATTTTGGCCATCTTCCGACCTGGGAGGCCCATCTTCCAATGGCATACCGACATATCTCTGGTTGTACTGATCCATTTAGTTTTCTTGGCAAGGATACTGGAGTGGTTTGCCATTGCCTTCCCCAGGGATCACGCTTGGTCTGACCTCTCTGCCACAACCGTCCCGTCTTGGGTGGCCCTTCACGGTTTCGCTCATGACATCATTGAGGTGCTCAAGCTCCAGCGCCCCGACAAGGCGGTGATCCTTTGCTGGAGAGATGCCTATAATAATATCTTTAGGTCTCTAATAATAATATCTGTCTATCAATAATATCTATAATAATACCTATATGCCTATGATAATATCTACGTCTATAATAATAAAATATCTATACCTCTGTAATAATAATAATAATATCTATATGCCTATAAGAATATCTATGTCAATACTAATAAAAATATCTATACCTCTAATTTTTTTTCATGTCAGGAGTGACTTGAGAAACTGCAAGTCACTTCTGGTGTGAAAGAATTGGCCGTCTGCAAGGGTGTTGCCCAGGGGACGTTGCCTGAATGTTTTGATGTTTTCCCATCCTTGTGATAGGTTCTCTCATGTCCCTGCATGGGGAGCTGGATCTGACAGAGGGAACCTGTATGTTAACAATATCTATACATCTATAATGATAATAATACCTATATGGTTATAATATATATGTCTATAATAATAATAATAATAATAATTTCTATATGCCTATAATAATATCTATAAGTCTGTAATAACATCCATACATCTGTTGCCTGTTTTTGCTCGAAAGATATTTAACCCTTGTGCTCCTTCTATTTTATTATCAGTTTTATACTAATTTATACAATGCTTTTGATATGAAATAAATAAATAATGTCTATAATAATACCTATATGCCTTTAATATCAGTGTCTATAATAATAATATCTAGATGCCTATGATAATATCTATAATAATAATAATTCCTATATAATAACTTTGAACTGGGTTATATGGCAGTGTGGACTCAGGTAACCCAGGGCCCTTCCACACATCCATATAACCCTTTGGCCACGAGGAGACTGAAATGGGCGTATCTTAGGTTGACACTTTGCCTCTTCAGTTGTGTATTGATAGCTTAGAAACCAGCTCTTCCTCTTTTCTTTCTTTCCCATTTCTTCACAATGGGCCACAGCAACGTGTGGCCGGGTACAGCTAGTGTTTTTATATGTTTCTGATCTTTCTTTAAAAATAATGTGTTTGAAGGCAATCACTATAGTTCAGGATTCTGGTACATGGAGAGGAATGTTCCTAAAATTGCTATTTTCCCTCACAGGCCTGGCAAATAATAGTTTTAAAGACAGGAAAACACCATAAATTTGAACCAAAGTGGGGAGTTTGCATGAGTTCACAAGACCATTATCTTTTGAACTAGTGGCAGCCATATTCTGCTGCAGTTGTTGCCACTAGTTTTGAAATTTTGAAGCTTGGTGATGTGTAGAGAACTTCACCTTTTCTTTAAAAAAAGAATTTTGCCTTTTAAACTGTCCTGGTATTCCTTGTTTATGAATGCATAAATGCCTTGTGTCTCATTCTAGGAGAAAGATAGCATACATACATACATACATACATGTAGGCATGCATGCATGAATTTGAGCTTCTGTAAGGTTTCTTGGCAGATAGATTTACTTGTAAACAGTTGGGGAGTGCATAAAACCATGCTTATAAAAGAAAAATGCTGCCTTTTTGCTTACTGTGCAGGAAAACCTGCAGCACTGGGGTCCTTGGTAAACTTCTTTAGGGTGGTTAAAAGATGAGGTGTTTTGAAGTCTGCCATGGGATTAAACCAATTCACAATGTAGCTTTGATTCAGATTGGAGTCTTCTGTGATACACATAAAAATATGCCAGTCCATTTCTTCCCCTATGAACCAAGATCTCATTTGTTCTTGGCTAAAAGCTTTTGGAAAATAGCATTTATAACCTTTTAGAAAAACATCTTTTGGAGATCATAAACTTTTTAGAAAAGTATGACCTTTTAGAAAAGAGCCAAAATCCCTTTAGAGTAGAATCTTCTCATGAGGTATACAACCAGATAGAATGCTAGGCAATGGTTTCAGTTGTTAGACTGAATAACCTGTTATCTCTGATCTGTTAGGAAAACAGAGATTTGCCACTGTAAAAAAAAAGTAGAGCTTTAGAAGTGTTTTTCAGTGCCCAAAAATATATACTTCCATAAAACAACTTGTTTTATATCATGCACTCAAGAGACAAAAATGAAGTAGACTAGAATAAAAATAACATATTTGTTTTATTTGCAACCTTTATGTGTTCAGCATACACAAGTACAAAACTTGTCAGTCCAGTTTCAGATATGTTTGAGATAACTCTCTGTGCCATCCGGTCAGGATATCTCTCTTATAACAAAACGGCTATCAACAGGTCACATAGTGAAAAAAGAAGAGAGAGAGAGATCTGCAGTAGTCTGCAGTCTGCTATAGTCTGTCTGTAGTGACCATGTGGTCTGCAGCCCCTCCTACAACTTCTCAGGAACCATCGAGTAAAGGAAACTGCATACCAGAACATATATACAAACAGTAAGCAGCAGGATCATAGATAAACATTTCCAGAGAAGACTTGAAAAAGGTTGTCATTTCCTACAAAAACTAGTTTAACTGGAATGGGTTCCCTCAAAACTCGTCCATCCTTGGAATTCTTGTGTGCCAGCTGCACCCGTACCTTGGGAAGTCTGACTTGGCCATGGTAGTCCACGCTCTGGTTACATCCTGTATAGACTACTACAACGCGTTCAACGTGGGGTTGCCTTTGAAGACTGGAAGCCTCAAATGGTCCAGCGGGCGGCAGCCAGGTTGGTAATGGAAGCAATGCTCAAGGAGCATACAACTTTTCTGTTGCTCCAGCTCCACTGGCTGCCAGTTTGCTACCGGGCACAATTCAAAGTGCTGGTGTTAGCCTATAAAGCCCTAAAAGGTTCCGGCCCAGCTTACCTGATCGAATGTATCTCTCCTTATGAACCATCTAGGAATTTAAGATCGTCTGGGGAGGCCGTGGTTTCGATCCCACCTTCTTCTCAGGCATGGTTGGTGGGGATGAGAGACAGGGTCATCTCAGTGGTGGCCTATCAGTTGTGGAACTCCCTTCCCAGGAATATTAGATTGGCTCCCTCCCTCCTGACTTTCTGGAAAAAAGTAAAGACCTGGCTGGCTCTTCAAACAAGCTTTTGGAAATGCAGCATAGTAGATAAATACGGTACTATGAAAGTTAACATGGAATGGCGAGACAATGCTAATGGAAAATGAGTTTAACTGGTGTTTAACACTGGTGATTATTGGTGACAATGCTAATGGAAAATGAGTTTAACTGGAGTTTAACATTGGTGATTATATGTTTTTAATGGTTTTATATGGTTTTTATATGGATTGTTATTATGTCATGTTAAATGTCTTACTGGTATTTATTACTGTTGTGGCATCTTTGGGCTAAAAAAGGTGGGCTAGAAATACTGTAAATAAATAAATAATGTTGTGGAGGATAAAATGATAGTGAAGTGGTGGATGAATGTTAGTGGTGCAAGACATTATTTGTATGAAACCACCATTTTGGGGGTGTGTGTGTATGTGTGTGTGTGTATATCAGTTAAGTGTTGCTGCTGTTTGTCATTTGTCAGATATTTATATACCATATTTTCTCATATAATAGTCACCTTCACATAACAGGCGCACCCCCATTTTTGGGGTGGCAAAATTGGAATTTTAGTATTTCTCGCATAATATTCACACCCTTAGCTTACTTGCCTGGCCAAGTGAATGAAGGGTGCGATTCCTCCGCGCGCCTGCTCTTTGGTACTGTCGCGCTCTACTCAGCTGCTATACATCTGCTCGTTAGCTACTACAGGGCTTCACTTGTCTGGCAGCTCCAAGGGGCAGGCATTGCTGGAGAAGTCAAGCTTGGTAGCTGGAATAAACCATGTCATAGTCTCCCCCTTTTTTTTCAATCAAAAATAGGGGATAAAAAATATGCGGTGAAATGCTGTATTTATTTATCTTTCAAGAGTAACTTGTAAGTAGATAAAACGGAATTGGTTGAATAAAGTGAAGGTTTTGTGAACGAGGTTAATTGAGTATTAAAAGATTAACCCAGTGTTATCCAGGTTAAGGTTGATGATTTGGATAAAACAAAAGTTTTAGCAATACCACCTCCTTAAAATTGTTTTACAGAAAGTTCCATACAAAATAGAAATACCCTGCCCCCCCCCCCCTCCAAGGGGCAGGCCAGCTTTACTTTGCTGATGAGTTGTGAATTTACACAAGAATATTTGGAATGCCAGTTGAATTGTAAATAAAAAGGTTACTCAAAAATTATTCACAAGTGTGCGCATTCTAGAGCAGACAATGCAGAAATGTAAATTAATTGTTCAGGGGAGACCAGAATTAGTTGAGAGATCATGTCTCAGGGCCATTCCACACAGCCATATAACCCAGAATATCAAGGCAGAAAATTCCACAATGTCTGCTTTGAACTGGGTTATCTGAGTCCATACTGCCATATATTCCAATTCAAAGCAGAAAATGTGGGATTTTATTTAGCTGTGTGGAAAGGGCCTCAAACGGTTTTATTATTACCTTCTTGGGCACAGTAGATAACATACTGTGGTTAAACTGGGGTCAAGCATATGCCCCTGTATAGAATAATAAACACCTTAATTATATTATAGATTGATTTTCTTTTTTTTTCTTTTCTTTTTCAGATGCTGTTTCACCTACATTGTTAGATGCAAAGTGGAATCAGATTCTAGATCCTCCTTCTCATCGGCTGTCTTTTAATCCAGCTCTAGCCAATGTGAACGAATCTACAATTGTTAATGAATGTCCACAGAAATTAAAGACTTTGTCCCTATCTCATTTAGCCTCTGGATCAAGAGGTAGTGGTCCCCACTGTTCCAATGGAAAAAATCTTAATATGAGCCAAGAAATCCCAAACATGTGGATTGATGATCAGATGACAACAGAGGATCAACTAATAAAGAGAAATGGTAATCAAAGTGCTCACTGTAATGTTGTGGATGAAGCAGAGAGAAAATGTGGCAATTGTTTATCAGAGGAAAAAAATGTTGTAGTTGTAGCTGTCATGCATAACTGTGACAAGAAGACATTGCAAACCGATTCTTTGGATTGTAAAAATCACATCGATCCCTCCATAATGGATACTGTTAGCTTTACACTGGATAGTGAAACCCAAGAAGCTGATCATCTTGATGTTACTATAAATGGGTCCACAGAGAAAGATACGGATACTGAAAAAGAAGTACAACCAAGCAGGCTGCATACAGAGGAAGATTCTGTTAAACATTGTATTGCTGCTGCTTCTGATTGCTTATCCAGTGGATATTCCTCTTCTCTGTTCAAAGAGAAAGATAATACAAATAAAGACTTTGAGTTTTCAGAAACTGCAGCACCAGGGATGAATGTATTTCCCTTGCAGAGATCACTTGATCCTAGCATTAACATTCAGGAAAGTTGTACATCAAGCGAGGGTTTTGATATTGATGTTGCTGCTCAGAGAACAGAACGAGAAACTAGAAACTGTTCACGTAGTTCATGCAGTGGGGATTTGTCCGTGGAAGCAGAGCAGACAGCCCAGCAGTCTCAGCCAGGGATGTCTGAACTCTCTGCAAATTGTCAGCTTAATGCATTTGAAAGTGGCAATCACTGTGAGCATTCTGGCAGGCATTTGGATTCTCAGGCTCCTAGTGCTCTTGAAAATGAACCTGACAAAGCTGACAAATCTGAAAATATTCTCTGCACAACCGACTTGCTCAATAAGACAGTTTGTTTATCAGAATCTCAGGAGATGGCAAATGGTGAATTGACTAAACAAAATGAGATGAGTAAAGAGCAAACACAGGGGGAGAATGAAGAACACTTGCACACAGAGGAATCTTGTGTTAATAATGGAGATGGCAGTGATAGTATGGCAGAAGCAGGTTTTGACTTAAAGCAGGTATCTGGAGATGAATCTGGAGATGAATCTGGAGATCCAAGTCCTACTGATGGCAGTGGAAGATCAGTATCAAGAGATCTGCCGAACTGTTGTGATTCCTATGGAATACAGAACTCAGTTCTTGCTCATATTCCAAAGACTTTGCCCTCTAAGGAAGACTCTGTGACTGAGGAAAAGGAGGTAGAAGAGAGCAAATCAGAATGTTATAGTAATGTTTATGAACAAAGAGGAAATGAAGTCTCAGACAGGAGTGGACTCATTTTGAATTGCACTGGTGACCAAATGAAAAAAAAATATTTACATAATTTCTGTAATCAGGTACCAACGGAAGCAAGTCAAGCATCACCAAAACCAGCAGCTAACCTGCAACCTCTCAGTGTTCCTTTTGGTGGTGCCCGACCCAAGCAGCCTACAAATCTAAAATTGCAAATTCCAAAGCCATTATTGGACCATTTACAAAATGACCTTGTTCCCCCAAATAGTGTTAGTAACAGTAAAAATAAAAATGATGTATCTGGAAAATCAAAAGTTTCAGAACACCCAGCAGCAAATGTGTTTTCTGACGAAACATCCCTGAATGCCTCCATTGTGGATATTGTGGGGGAGCATTCAGATGAGTCTGAGCCTGGGGTTTCTAGCAGTTCGTGCCTTGCAGCAGCCTCCGATAGTCCAGACAATGACCTTGGAGCTGGCCAATTTGGAGTTCCTACAAGAAAGCCATTTACTACTCTGGGTGAAGTAGCTCCAGTGTGGGTTCCAGATTCTCAAGCACCAAACTGCATGAAATGTGAAGCCAGATTTACTTTCACTAAAAGGCGGCATCATTGCAGAGCCTGTGGAAAGGTGAGTTTGTATTTAATAATAGATTCCTTTAAATGATAGAAGTCATGGTCACATAATTGTGTTATTGTGTGCCTTCAATTCATTTCTAACTTACAGAGGGGATTTACTGTTGCCTTTGCATGAGACTGAGAGTATGTGACCTATCTAAGAGTGTCTAATGTGGGTATTTGACCTTTCACAGCCGTACAACTGTATCACACTAGAGAATGAATCCACTTTAAATCTGGTTTCTTCCTCCTGCAGAATTCTGGAGTTTATAGTTTAGTGAGGCTGTTAAAGGCTCCTCCCTAAACTACAAACTCCAGAATTCTGCAGGAGGTAGCATCCAGATTTTAAGTGGATTCATTTTCTAGTGAGATGAGGTCCTTAATCCCTCTAAAATAGTTGCTCTAAACCTTTCTTGGTTTGAAGCATTCTTGACATGTTTTTTTTCAACATGTCAAGAATACATGTCAAGGCATAGTAAGCATTTGGTTTTTTTTGTAATTATTGAGAATAACAGATGGCTAATAATGGTATTACAGGTATTGTTTTAAAAATATGTCCCTATTCTTTCTTATCTATTAATTATATTCTCACATTATACGCTTCTTTAACTGTGACAGTTTTCTTTATATGTCTTTATTGTTATTTTATCATACATGTTTAAAATCTTGATAGAAAAAAGAGGAAAAGAAGACAAAATAGAATACAGATAGAATAAGAAGAGTAAGAGAAAAAGGAAAAAAATGACAATTTTCTAGAAATACTTCAAAAGATCCATGTTCAGAAAGTTGGGTTGCACTCATTTTTGTAGAGTTGTCTCCTTCGGGAGAGATGAAGCAGGGTATAAATAAATATAATAATAGAAATCCAGCACATATATCTCGTTTGCTGTGACATACTGTGTTTTAGTGTCAGTAAATGAATAATAATAAATTATTGAATTATCAGTTTTCCTTTTATCTGATCATTGTCATTACACGATAGCTTATTTAGATTATATATAACAGTACCAATATGTTTGTCTGTTATTGAAGTGCTTTAATTTAAACTCTTAAAACTAGTTATATTCTTCAGTGGAAAGCGTATTGTAATAAAGAGTTTAAATTGTTCTCTTCACATCCAACTAGGCACAGGGCAAGTAAAGCTTCCTCAAATTTATTTGTTTATTTTTAGATTTATTTTTGCAACTCAAATAAAATTGTAATGAATTGTATCTCTTACGCACCTCTCTCCAACACTCTAGACAGGCTACAGCATAAACTAAATGCAATATATAACTAAAGATACATAAAACACGTAAACATAAGATTAAAACAGAATACATCATCCATACATAAACTTCAATATATCCATTTAAAATTCATAGTTTAAAATAGATTGGGTAGGTCATCCATCTAGCCCACCATCTATGCACATATTTTGATAATGCTTAAACGGTGTTCTGAGTGTGGTGCGGCCCTATGGTATGTGATGCGTGGAAAACTTTAAAGCTAGAGAGGTAAGTTTATGTTGTCACGTTTTTAGTGCTGAACTTCAATCTGGAGACTGTTTGACTTTTGTGTCACCTCACCTGCAATTCTCCTTTTTAGATTTTTTTCTCTGGTATACAAAAGGTAGACAGGATAGAAGCTGAGCTTGGCAACGTTTCTTTTTTTTGGATTACAGAATGCAGAGCTTGTCCACACTTTGGGTAGGAATACTGGTCACCACTGCCTGAATGTCCATGGTATGGCATCAAAATGTGAAACCCAACAGCCTTTGCTTTTTTCCTGGTATTGTCATTGAGAGAGGTAGAGAGAAGTTAGCTCTTCCTGCCTGGAAATACATGGAACACTTTGGCGGCAGCACTCCATTCCTGCCTTTGTTTTGAAACATGGGATGAATTGGGCATGATGAGTGGGAAAAAGCTTGTTGAGTCCAATTTTTGGCATGACTGCCATTGTTGTTGAAAAATTGTGCATCCCTGTATTAAGTGGTTTTCTCATGATCCCATCCCTTTTGGGTGTCATTATTGTAAAAAAAACCCAGCACTCCTCTTGGGTGTTGAGAGGAGATATCGTGACATCCAAACAACCATTACATGGGTTGTGGATAAAGCAGTTGCTTATAAAAGTGACAAAAATAATAATATTTATTTGTGATATCCTTTCCACTAAAGGGCAGAACATAAAACATATACAATCAGACACAAAGATGATAAAACATAGCATTATAAATATACATTAACTCCACATAATATGTTATGTGTTTACTCTCATATTTAAGGGTTCCATATTTATAACCATACATGATCTATCACATTTAAATATACATATAATGTAGTTTTGACTGTATTCATGTTTGTTTTGTGGCCAGTGGTAAAAATACTAGTTAAGTCAACAAAAATGCCTTGTTCTCAAAATATTTCTTGCCTGTCCGTTTGCATGTAACTGTAAGTCATTTATGGTTTTAGAGAAAAGAACCTTCTAAAAATGTTTTGTCTAGTTCCCTGGAATATTCTCTTATTTGCTGCAGATGACCAGGCAGTACGCTATTCTGATATTTACAGAGGACCAGGTAATATCTGTTCCTCACAAATTAGATTTTCAATTGAAAGCATACAGCAGCATATAAAAAGCTAGCTAGTCTTTATGTCTATTTTTCTGAAGAATATGTAAGCTTGAGTTTTGATGTGTGTGCATTCTTTCTACTGAGTTTTTATTTAAAAAGTATACTTGTGGAAACCTTGGGGTTCCCCCAACATTGCTGGTACATCCAAATTAACTATGGATGCTGTTTGGTTACATGAGCAATTCTATTTAGAGAACTTAATTGCAATTAAAATCTGTGATAATATAGCTTGGGGCCTTATTCAAAATGCAGACTTGAATATTGTTTTCATCTAAGAATAGAAGATGAATAAAAGATGCAAAAGCAGCACAGTCATGTAGTCTTGTTAAAACATGGTGTTTTATGTAATGACTAATCTGGTTCTTTTTAATTGAAAAGCTACTGTGTTTTTTTCTTCTAATAGGATTTCAGTACATACAAAAAGGTCTCTCATCTTTTAAACTATAGTCAGGCAAAGATCAGCCTTTCAGATATTACTGAATTGTATTCCTATTAGCAGCCCCAATAATGAGGAATGCTGGGAGTTGCAGCCCAGCATATAGAAGACTGTACTTTGTGTGTATGCCTTCAATTCACATGTAAATTTATGGTCACCCCATCTATTTCAAAGAGTTTTCCTAGATAAACAATATTCAGAGATGATTCTGCCAATCCATTTTACTGAAACATTACCTATAATGTTCATTGGCAGTCTTCCATCCAAGACCTAACCAGAGCTGACTTCACTTAGCTTCCAAGATCACATGGGCTCTAGTGCCTTTAAGGCAGGGGCGTCAAACCCATTTTCACCAAGGGCCACATCATCCTTATGGTTGTCTTCAAAAAGACATTTGTAATTGTAATTTGTAATTGTAACAATATTGCCCTAGCGTTGAAAGCTCATGGACCACATAATGACATGGAGGACTGAATTAGGCTCACGGGCCTTGAGTTTGACACTTCTGCTTTGGAATATTCAGGTCACAAATACCTTTACGTTCTTAAAACGAGTTCCATGATTTCATCTGTACTCATTACTGTTGAGATAAAACTTCATTGTCTTTAGCTAATGGAGAAAACATTTGATTGTTTCTTCTTTGCTCTGATTTTTATACTCCATAAAATGGTGTTACCTATGTGAAAAGATGGTCTGAGGTCTGCATTTTCAGCAGCCATGTAACATTAGTTGCTCTTAGTTTGCCAAATTTGCATTTACAGTACAGCCAAGTCCCCAAATTGCACTAGATATGTATACAAAAGGCACTTCCTCCAAACAAATGAACATAAAACAAAACTCTGAAAAACACCCCAAATAGCTATGGGATACTGTGAACCAATGTAGTATAGTCGTTTGAGCATTGTACTACAACTGTGGAGACCAGGGTTTGACTCCTCGCTCAGCCGTGATCACCCGCTGGGTGATTGCGTGAGTCTTAGTCTCTCAGCTGTGGAAGAAGACTAGGGCAACCCCCTTGTGACAAAATCTTGCCAAGAAAACACTGTGATAGAGTGGCCATAGGTTGGAAACGACTTGGAGGCACACAACAATAACAGAAAGATTGAAAGTAGCCAGTTAGAATTAGCTCTCACAATGTGCTAAATAAACTTCAAAATTTCCATTGCTAACAAGTTTCTCTCTTTTACGAGTTATTAAGCTTGCCAGTTAATATTCTGTGTGACTTCAAGTCATTTCTGACTTACGGAGATCCTAACTCAAACCTATCACAAGGTTTCTTGGAAAGATTTGTTCAAAGGGAGTTTGCTTTAACCTCCTCTGAAACTAAGCGAATGTGGCTCTTCCAAGATCACACAGTGTATTTCCAGGGTTGAACAGGAATTCAGTCCCTGGTCTGCAGAATTGTAGTCATTTCATAGACCTTTCACAGGACCCACACAGCAAACAATAAGATAGAATGTGGTGTGAAAGTGTTTCAATTGAAGTAGAAAGTCAAAACCTGATATTAAAGGTATGAGACATGGAGTAAAAGGGAAAGGGGTAAAATACTGGTGAAAGTCGTCCTGATGAAACAACATTGGACAAGAAAAAGATGTCAATGTGCAAGGAAACCTTTACAGCCTGAAAAACTCATGGCAACCCACAAACCTTTTCTTTTTGAAGCTGCAAGAAAGGTGGATCACAGTGGAGAGCAACCAGCTCATTAGCTTGGTGTGCCAAGTTTTACTGTGACCAGGAAAGCCATTTTGAGATAAGTAGTCTGATGTCACAGGTAGCTAAAGCTTCAAAAGGTTTATTCTTAAGATGCAACAAGACAAGTCAAAGATCGCATGCAGGTTCTATAGATAGCAATCTCATCTAAAGGTGCTTGAAACCTCTCAGGAACAATCTGACATAAGGATCAAGAAACAAGGAAAGTCAATATGACCTACTGTGGCTGCCAGACTGACTCTCATCAGGAAAAAGTCTA